AATGATGTGTAGAACTTGAAGAACAAGCGGAACGTCACCTGAAGCCATTGGAGAAGATTCATGCACCTGAAATTGGTAGGATATAACGGCAGCACATTGAAATTACAGCGGAAAAAGTGTGCATGTTCTTTCCGCAAAACTTCGGCAATGTTGCTGCGTTTGATAAATTCTTTTATGCACACGGGGTCGCTCGGTGGTCGTCTTCAAAAACTATTCAGAAAACCAGAGGAAAGTTACAAATGAGCGAAATGACTCACTCGGCTAATGGCCGCGCGAGCGGTAGCAGTCGTTCAGTTACCTGCAAGCAGAATGAGTGTATCTTACTGTACTAATCTTATATAGCAGTTATAGTCCACTATATGACTTGGCACAGTAAGTCCGTGTACTATAGCTGCTCTATAAGATTACACAGTAAGTCGCACTCATTGTACAGCTGAATGAGCGGTTTCTTCCGTTCTCGCACTGGTGGGCTAGACCGATCCTTCCTTCATTCGTAACCTTTCGCTGTTCTCCTCGATAGTGTCTCAGGAACGTTGGAATGGGGGGCCTTGGTCATCTGAGAAAGCAATAAACAATGGGCCACATTTAGGCCTGTAATGAAGAAGGTCTAGTCGAAAAGTGAGGCAGAGCGGTGGAAATTCAAGCAGAGAAACAAAACTGTTAGTACAGCTGTTGTTGTCATAGTGCTTCATAACATCAGACTTTTGGATTATTCAAAAAATTTTAAAAGATTAGCCAAATTGCAAGTCTCCTGCAACGTAGGATATTCGAGTAAATAGCAATCATATCCCACTTCTCTGTTCTCACCGGCGACTGTGTTTACCAGTAGCGTCCTCCTGTGTTCCGTTGTTGTTTTCCTGTGCAAAATTCAACCATTATAATAAGCTACCTTGAACATACGACGTAAGCGAAGCACTAATTTTCCCACTTGATTCTTAACATTGGACGAAAAGCGAGCGCTGTAAAACCAGAAACAAAGGGAGTAAGTCTGCTTTCTCAGGCCGAGATTCGCATGTGGCAGTCTTTTATTCAGAAGTAAAAGGAAATACTGAGGAAAGCTGACAAGATGCAGTTGCAGTTGCATGATGTAGGGGTCAATGCAAGGACCACACAGAGATTCATTTTTGCTAAACGTTATTAAAAAAGGATAAAGGATAAAGTCTTCGCCGTTGATCAATCCCTTTGTGGGATGCGGCACGCATTCTACTTCCATTCAGAATCGTAGTGGCTTATTGAATGCGATGTGGCCTATACAATGACTTGCGGTGGCCAGCCGATGTACAAGTCAGTGTTTTATCCTCCCAGACGAATCTGGTACCAATTTACCGTCCCCGGAGGGTAGAAGGCTTGGTTGGCCTGGGCGGGTGTCGACCCGGGATTCGAACCCGAGTGGTAAGCGCGCCACTTGTCACTACACCACCTCCGCCTCGTTATTAGGAATGCCAAAAGAGTCGAAAAAATAAAGAATGGGCGATTTGAACCACATTATTCAGCTCTGTTCTAGCTGTATCGTTGAGGTATAGTTTATGAGGTGAAATTTGAGTAGACATGAAAAACAACACAGGAGTTCAAAATCCAAAAACTTCACCTGGCACAGTGGATTGAGAGTCCGTCGCACTATCCACTACACCATCCGTCCACTGCGACGGGTGAGATGCGGGAGCCATTGAAGAAGCATGCGGGGATGACGATGAAACTTCAATGTAGCTCACCACATGCCAGGTAAAGTACTTGGATTTTAGTTTCTTCTGCGTTGTTTTTCAACTTTACCCAAAGTTCACCTCATAAGCTATACACTCTCAAGATACAGCTAGAACGGAGCTGAATAAGGCAGTTCAAATCGCCCATTCTACACTTTTGGCTCATGTTCTAGTGCCAAACGTTGAAGACAGCGTGATTCGCATGCGAATCGCGCTTAGCGGTCCACTTGGGTCCGCATGGGTCGTATACATCACCCTCATCAAATTCATATCGCTCACAAGTGCATGACTTTCTGCTGTGTTTTATTAGGTCATCCCATTCAAAGTGGCCGGCACATATAGAGGAATGGCAGAAAAGCAAAGGGGATAGAGGGCTACTATACCATTTGGAAGCTAGTACCTTAAGCTGTGTATCTGTGTGAAATTTGGCGAACCTAGCCTCTGAAGAAGTTCTCGAGAAATTGAAGAGAAGCCCGAGTGGTGAAAATCGGCGCCGGTTTTTCAAATCAGACGTCATAAAAGGAAAGTGCGCTGCTCAAATTTGACCTGCGCCGGACCATAGTTGTGTGTAAGGGTGTTCTCGAAATACACGGTGGAAGATCTGGTTCAGGAGCCCGTACAAGGAAGAAAGGAAAAAATTTGTTGTCGTGGGTGGTCCCATAATATTCATCCTGCACAAGAAAAAGGGTGGATGAAGTCAGGCACTGAATATCTGATCACAGAGCCTGGACCCTTGTCGAGCTTCCCCGCGAGTCTGACATCCCAGCTGCAACTGCTGCCCGAGTTATGTCCGATAAACGGAGGATGGTCAAGAGGGTGGCGCATGGGTACCCAATTTTCTTATAGAAGCACGAACGCAGTACCGATTCTATACCTCTAGCAGTAATGTTCTCAGCATGAGATGTCACTCACAACTGTGAAAACGCACCCCGGCCTAGATGAAATATGGGTGGTCTCGGACCTCGAGTCGAAACTCACAATCGTCAATTTTGTATGAATGCAGATGAGAAGCCGCCCGAGTTCTACCATGAAGAGTTACGTGGGCGCAAGTGGATGATCATCATAGCAAAGGATTCCCACACTGTGGCTTTCAAGCGGCTCTATACAGAGAACAAATCCGTCACTGTCGGTGCATATTGCCTGTTCCTCGGCATTCAGATCGAACAATGGATGATACCACACAACTACAAGAAGGCCACCGTTGCTCGTCATAGTGCCAGACCCCGAGTAACTGTATTGTAGATCAGTGCTGGGACACAAACAATACTGAGACCTGAGTTCAATCGTCCCATTCGCCCGTCATAAAGCCATGCGATTACAACTGTTCTATTCAGTTGAGAGTACTCTCCAACGGCAGACGCTACAATGTTTTGTCATTTGCCGAAATTGGCAACAACAGCAATTTACCCACACTTGTTGAAAAATCGAAGGTACCAGAGGTCCAAAGGCCCTCGGGGCACTGGGAGCGGGTCATTGGTGAAGGAGGGATTTACTCATCCTAAAGCTAAAATATCACTTTTCTATCTATTCTCCTCTTTGTTTTATTCAAAAAAAACCATCGGCCACTTTGAATGGGATGACCTAATATGTACTTCATCTGTTCGTTGCTCGCGGTACCCGTAGAATGCGTGGCTCACAGCCCAAATCAATGTGCTGAAGTTAAGCAAAGTTTTTCTCTGGATCGCGGTTACTCCGTGGGTCACTGAGGCATGTTTCTCATTGTGGCATATTTCAAGTCGAAGAAAATAAAACTTCCTCTTTAAACAACCAGCCTGACTTTGGGAAATGGGGTGGTGAAGAGTAAATAAAGCCATAGTTTTTCTCAAGTGAAACCCCAAAAAAGAGTACATAGTGCCAAGCCCTAGGTTCTTTCCATGAAAATTTCTTATTACTTTCTCCCTTTTTACACTAACAATTCGATACAATAGTAGCACAAACAGTAGAGAAGAAATATTAACACATTCTAAGAGGCGTCTACACCCGAGTAAACACGCACAAACTTTTCCTTGAGAGAATCTGAACTCTCAAGAGTTCACGCCTTTTCACTTGTTTTCTTAGATGTTCCTCGATAAGCAGGAGCAAATCACCTTCATGTACACCAAAATATAAAGTCATCTCCACTCGCAACTTGACTGGAGAAGGCCTTCAGAATTCACGTCACCTCCAAACAGCTGCGAAACTCGTATGGAGTCACCCATGGACAGCTACCAGCACTCTTGATCTGGAAGACCTCCAACATCGAGCAGCTCCGACAACGTCGCTACGGTCCAGGATATCATCTTCACCGCAGTCGCCAAGGTGATGGTATGGACCGGAAGTTCCTGGAATGGGATGACCGATATTCTCTCCCCGGACACCGGGCTAAAAGGCTGACTGTAACATCGAACAAATCGAGGAGAATATCCTGCCCTCATGTCGCCGCCTGTACCATCGTTGGAATCTTGGTACTGCTACAGGATGGGGTGCCAGCACGTGGAATTGAAGGACGTCGAGGAAACTCTTGCCTACTGGAATCGAAGAGCGCTGAATACCTGAAGAAGACGGAATATCCAACTCTGTCACCTGACTTGAACTCTCGTCACCTCGACTACCAGCTCGAAGGAAGCACAACAGGGCGGAAAATCAACGACCTCGGAACACAGGCACCGAATCACGCTCGCGTGGCAGAACCTCTCGATGGCGCTCGTAAAGAAGGCTGTGGCGGAGTATTATAGTGTACAATGCATTTCTGAAGATGATGGTGGAAATGTCCAGTTAGAACTCAATAAAATGCAACTCGTAGTGCCTTGAAACTCTAGGAAGAAAATGTGTCTTTTTTTTATAGCGCCCCCCCCCTCCGTGTAGACTGCTGAGAGCTCTAACTGTTGGTACGCTTGCTCTTTACATTCTATTAACAAGGTTCTCTCTACCCTTATGCCTTCTGTACCGACAGAAATTTTTAATTTGCAACGACTCTCCCTGCCAACTTAATGGTCGCTAAGGGGGTCAATTATTTTATTTAGTTCACCCTGTAGGGATTATCACACAACGTCCAGGAACACGTCCCAATCTCCTGAACAATTTGCATATCAACCAAGATGCGTGAAGTTTGAAGTGATGAGAGCCGAAATAGTGTTTACTTTCATTTTCATGAAATTTAAGTATGAGCAACAAGAATGAGGTGAAAAGGAATGATGAGCAATTTCAGGTCTTCACAAATGCTTCTACCAAACAACAGCTTAAATATCAGCTAGAGCTAAGCTAAAACCGTCTATAACAAGTGTACTACGTACAAGTAACTAACAGAACCCGTTGATAAAATTAGTTCGTCTTCTTCGACTTTGTTTGAACTGCTTGGTATTTAGCTTTACCACCACGCAACACATAGGATTTCAAGAAGAAGTTAATGAAGAGGATCAAGTACGTCGTGTCCATGAATGTTGCCAAAATGAAGATGTTATGGTCGAAATCACAGGGGATCTGAAAAAAATACGTTGAATGGCAGTACAACTCTGAACATACAAATAGTACTTGACTTTGTTCTTTTTGTTCCTAAGAGGATGCTGTTTAGGGAAGGTAAACACATGAAGCCTAAATATTCATAGGAATGATGAGTTCGGGGCAAAAGAGATGACTCAGGCGAGAATCGAACCCGCACTTCGCGCTACCGGAGACTAGGCTATCCATTACACCTTCAATGTTTCCTCCAGTGCACTAAGCTTTATGGCTTTCTTGAATGCTGCAAGGCTATGGCATGAAAAACTAACAAGGAAAGTTCAACAGGTCAGGGGAGATTCGATACGGGAACATAGCCTCGTAAGAGCCTCTGCCGACACCCCAGTAAGGTATCAAGTCGGCAAAATTACTGAGCAGAAGCATATTTAGGTGCATAAGAGAAGGCTCGAAGAACAGCGAAAACACTTGTACGCCTAGGATCCGGAGCCATGACTTCCCGCCCATGAAGCAATGCACATACACTGCAACATACACACTACACCTATAGCCTATTGGAAGCCTTGCTTTCCCAAGTACTACGGAGAGTGACTGAATAGATCCGCTTCTCTGATTTTGTAACGCCTTTTCGCCCAACTCTCGTGGTTTGAGTGAGTGTCAACTATTTTCAAATCCGGCGCTCCGAGTGCCATCGTTCACTTGGGAGATGCCTTTAGGAAAAACGCTTTCCGAGTCGAGCCGAAGACCAGTCCTACAAACATTGTCCCCGCGGAGTACTCTACCATCGGAGGCATGATTCTCGCATTCATATTCGTCATCCGGTGACTTGATTATGGCGACAAGAGACGCGACGCTTGCTGCGGTGTGTTTATGGCTGCTTACTGACGGATTAGTTGTTTTTTGTCTTCACAAGTTGAATTATGATTGAGATTCTTCTGGTTTTTGCGTACAATTAAACAGTTAAGCAGACAATTGAACAAATAGCTGAAAAAAAATCGCAAAAACACCCTATTGCAAACGCAGAGAAAAACCTCTGGTCTAATATTTTCATATAGACGATAGAGCAACTAACGCTCGAAAAAAAATAATAGAAAACAATAGCTGAGGAAAAGCAGGGATAAAAACAAGCGTAAACGGTCAAGGGAGAAAACGGCTAAAACAGGCTGGAAAACAGGCTGATACCGTGCTCGCAACAGCACACGCAAGCCGCGTCGCGTCCCTCCGCCGCCCGCAGAATCAAGTCACCGGATGACGACTATAATCAATTGTGAATGCTACACCGAATTCCTTGCGTACGCCGCCGTTGCAAATTTGCTCCAGCCTTGTGAAACCGGATTCGCGTAACATTTTCGTCGCCATTTCTCTAGAGCGAGTCCCAATATCTTTGATGGGCTAGCATTCAAGCCCGTACAACCCTACTGGTTTGAACGCACAGTTCTTAGCTCCGTTTCGACGAGCTGCCCACCACCCTGCTCAGTGTTTGCAAATAATAAACGGATAATCGCTGTCGTGAGTTCACCTTGTCAAGGACTGACAAGCCATGTCGTGTCGTCGGTGAGGACAATACCACCTCTCGACAGACCCTAACGATATGCGTAACTCTTTTGCTCGAGCTCGATGTGCCAGTTGAAAACAAATTTGGTGCTCGAAAACCCCAGCGATCGACTTCGCGAATCTGCGAAAACTTGATGTTGCAGTGCACTAATACACTAGTTGTGTTCCGGTTCCTGCCAACTCCTCTTTTTTATGACCGAACAAAATGCACTTTTGCACCCCATTATCGATTGAAACAACTGGCTAATGAAATTGACAACTCTGGAAGATCTATAAATAAGCACGTACCCCAACGATGTGTACGAGATAAGCAATATGTGCCAAAATGGTGCACGAAATCACAAACTGAAGTATTTGTAACGTGGTTATGAACTTGGCGACAATACCGGGAACGCTAATTTTCATTGAGCGTAGGAAGTAGTAGCTGAAAGATAAGAACTCATACCCATCATAGAAAAAAAAGAAGCTTTTAAGCCTGAATAAAAGTTGTGCTCACCTATACATGAATGCATGGACACAGTAGTTGAGGTAGATTCCATATCGATTAAAACCGGGAGTGTGAGGATGAGAATAGAAGGCGTATATACCAGTGAGGATGTGGTGATACCTGAAGGCAATGGTGATCGTCAAACGGCTCAGCAACCTTTCTCCCAAAGAACGAAGCTGACGGAAGCATTATGGGAGTTAGCTATGAAGGGAGGTGGGGGGGGGGGCATTTTGCAATTTCGCTGCTTCATTAGATCTGATTTACACGCCTCACTCCAGTGGAACCTGTAACTCTTGTAAAACTGAAGCACGCTCGTCACCACCTCTGGTAAGCGGGATGGTCTATACAAACTTTGGTTGGCACAATTTCACAGCTTCACAGATTTCTCAGGTCTCTACAGATGGCTCGGCACGTCGATGGGAATAAGCAAAAGGCCAAAGTGCCCCCTCTCAAGCGAAAATGCGCCGATATTAAGATATGAAGTACGCTTTTCTACCATATTATGTCTCATGTAAAAAGTGCAACACTTGCGTTTATGTAACACGTACTTTGTACCCAACATGTGGCACGTATTCTCTACCCGACGAGTATGACGGGCGCGGTCACAAGACAAAGTACTACTCTTCGATGAACACACGAAAGAAAAGAGAAACTCCGATGGTAAAAGCTCAGACTGCCTTTATACTTTGTGTAAGCCTTTTGATGATTCCGAGCGACTAAGACTGTATAGGTATCGCTGTAGCGTACACCAGCTTCGAGCGACTAGGAAAGTATGGATGTAGATCTAGCTTTTCAAGCGTGGACCAGTGTTTTAAGCGTACACCTGCGTTTTGAACGTCATTCCGCCGAAAGTTGAAAACTGCTCACGAAAGCCCCTCAAAGCGCTACATCGATGTCTACACGCTCAAAAACGCTACCGTACGCTCACGCACCAACGCTAACGCAAAGTATGAACGCAGCCTAAGCTATTCTGTGAACCAAAAAGAGCCTCACCAATGAAGGAACATCAGTGGTCGTTTCCGAAGAACAATGAATATGGTATCAACGAGCTCGAAAAGTTTTGACACAATGAAAAGGAACACCCAATATCCATTTTCGCCTTTCGTAAAATCATATGCGAAGCAGTAGGAATCTGCAATGTACGGTTAGTTCGACGTCTATGCATCTTTCAGTACTTCCCTCTCATCGGTTTCGGATCGAACGTCATAGAAATGAGTACAAGTGAGAGATCGAGAGTAACATGGCTGAAATATTGCTCAAGCATGGATAGGAAAAAGTTGGTGAGATCACGCGCTGGAAAGCGATTCCAAAACTCGCAATGGCGCCCTACTTCGAACAAGAGTGCAGACACCCGGAACCCGTTAATAATTTCCACTCCTTAAATATTATTTTCCTGGTACAACCACACAAGCAAGGACCAATCTACCAATTCAGAAGGGACGGGATGTGCAAAGCAGCAAGGTGGAACTGAAAAGAACTCTGGGGAAAGCTCTAAACTGCTTAAAAATAGACCTCTGAGGGGCACTCGATCTAGACAAATAGTGTTCACTTCTAGCCAACAGGTTTCAGCTGAAACCCTAATTTCGGTGTGACCCTTCAATCTTTTCCGCTTCTCTCAAGGTTTGAAAATGGCTACAAACTTTTTATTTACGAGCTGTTCGACAAGGCCTCCTCTCTAGCACTGTTCGCGCCTCCACCTCCCTGCGCATTGCACACCAGGAAGGGCTACTCGTTCTAGTTCGTATAAATAGCGAGAGGCATGGGCTACGCTCGCCACCTTCGATGACTTGAGCACTCTCATTACCGAATTCCTTGACAGAGAGTCGGAAGTGATAAATGGAGGAAGAGGCTGTGTTGGGTAACTTTATGAATAATTAGCTCAGACGTTATCAGAAAGACCTAAAATAGCCATGGTTCAATTGCCGACGTATAGGTTCCATTTTTCCCTGTTTGCCGGGAATAAACGTGGATCGCCATTATGCCAAGAACGACAGAATGAATTTACTCTTTTCAGCTATTCCCCTTACTCTTTACGATTCACTTTCAGGCCAGGCTGTTAACGCATGATCTCACAGGTCTACGTCAATCAGCACCTAAGTAGCATTGTAAAAAGGGGCGATAGCGCAATCATGATCAGATAAGAGAACACGCCAGATGGCCTTGGGAACGGGTGGAAAGTTTAGCATTGCTGCTAGACTTTGCATCCGTTCCCAAGGCCATCTGGAGAGCATAGACCAAATTGCAATACCAAAGCGGCTATGCTCTCTCATCTTTCAGAAACAGATTCGAACTGCGGAAGAAAACACTCACTTTGGAATCCTTTTGTGGCAATGGTACCCCAAAACTCCGGCGTCAGCTTAATCATCCCCATAATGGAAAATGCTGCCAGAGAAAAGTTCCAAATGTTCAGTGGGACGAAAAGTGAGAATGGTGGACGATTCCGCATAAAGAACTTCGTGCCGAATACAATGAGGACATAAAGTATAGAAGCCTGAAATATTACAATTGAAATTTTTTAGCAAACTATCCCTCTTGGTGTGAATGTCACTTAAATCTGGATGTGTACAATAGGATTTCAAGATTTCGACTAAAATATTATTTTCAACTTACTGGAATTAGAAGAGCATTTTTCGGAAAATTGTGAAAAGAATATTCATCGAAAAAGCATTTGACTTCCAGGTTCTCTTGGTGAAAATTTCATGAAGGATGCTATTTACTTCGCGTTGACCTATTCTTGCTTTCCCATATGGGCGCAGATGTGAAGTAGGGCACTGTGCTGCTACTGCGCACCGTGCGGGTGTCAAAGGTCGGATCTGGTCCCGGCTAAAGAAGCCGTCTCTTCCTCCAGAGCCTTTAACTGGTACCAAATACGACGAATATGACAACTTTGAGAAAGGCGACTTTAAAGAGGCAAAAAATTACTACTGAACTAGCCTTTAAATGAGAATTCTAGTGCCGGGGAATCAACCCATTCCTGCAGAAAGGCCTATCCTTACGGAGGTCGATTTTCACAGGGATTCCCTCAAGCCTCTCCTCCTTCCCTGCTCGAATAGCTCCTCAGGTGAGCATCGATTTTCGAGCTTGAACCTTCACATTTAGAAAAAAAAACACCTGCAGTCAAACCCTAACCTTGCGGAAGCCGGGGAATCGATGAGTCGCGGGGATCGGAGAAGGGAAGAATGCACGAAAACGATTGATATGTATCGATCAGGAGAATCGGAGCATCACGAATCTTCAGTTCTCCGGTCGTACAGATCGATACCTGTGCATTCCCATCCGCGATTCTCCAGTTCATCCGATTCTGCGGGTCGTCGATTTCTTCAGTTTCGCACAGTATGAATGCAGTTTTTCTAATTTCTGTGAGGATGGATTGGAATCAGACAAACCCCGACGCTTGGTTCTCGCGAACAGTGTAGCATCCCAAAACCCTTACGCGTGCAGTTCTTTCAGAAACACTTGGTAAGAACGGAAGTAAGTGTTCAAATCAAAGTAAACAATAAGCCACATACCTGAATAGTAATGTCGAAGTGGTCAGCAATGAACTTCCGTCCTTCCTTATCCGGAAAATTCTCACCGCCATGGGTGACAAGTGAGACAAAGCGCTTGACGTCGAATTTCACGTCTAGCAGACGCTGCACCATCGGATGTTCCATTTGCTTGTCTAAAACACTGCGGAGCTTCAAAAATGTAATATGCTGCGATAACGATCAATAACAGAGAACTAGCAAAACCTAAGAGATTAGAGACCAGGAATGAGGAGCGACCTGTCAAGTGTAACTGTGATTAGCGACAGGGTCAAGTGTGATGTTAAGAAATTGCGATAAGGGCGGGTCATAGGTAGGACTCCACACTTATCATCTACGAACACTGTGCAACCCAACGGAAGACGGTAGAAGAGTTCTGAGCGTTTTTTTCCGAAAGTGTTTTTCTCGTGAATAGCCTGAGGGGTTCATCGTTAAAAATGATCAGTCTGAGACATAGGCGAAATGAATCCTTTTACATATTTTGTAAGTCCATTGGATTATTTTGCTTTAATTCTAGGACACAGTTATAGAATGCTCACACCTGACTTTATTAGCGGAACAGATATTGGAGACAAATCAGCTCCACAAGAAGTATACGGTTCCTATATTTAGAGGTTGATCATCTCTGAATGCTCTAGCTATGAACATCTGGGTCGAGAAATCAATATCGTGAACGACTTAGCACCAGAGGTGAGCAGGAAGAAGTAGCAGCATGGGGACCGTTTGAGAACATCGAAGAAGTATCGAGGAATCGGAAAACACCCAATTACGAGCCTACCTCTTCGACTTCGCAGTCCTTTCCCTGCTGACTTGCGCTGCAGAGACTAAAAAAGCAGGACGAACTTGCGGTCAGCGTCACTCAGCGCGCCAGCGAGACAGCCGTCACGCGTAAATGAGAGAGGAATTCGAAGCTCCGCAGCGACGATCGAAGATCAGGACGCAGCCGCTTTGCCAAGGTTTCGAGGATGAGGGGGGCCAGGCACGTCATGCGTCTCGAACATGACCGCTGGACCAGGCCGATTACCAACTAGATTCACCGGGATGTGTATGGGATATCAAACCTGGACGACAGCCTACGCGCTGGTCAAACTTCTTCGTGGAAGTCCTGAAAGAATGTTATGACGCTCATCGTGTCCCTCGCCCACAAGGGACCCGCGGGGCAGCTCTACCACGAGGTGCGGACGAGTGGGGACTTTTCTGGAGACCCTCCAGAGCCCTATGATCAACAGGGGCACAGATGACTTAGGATGATAGTAAAGGATAATAATATGATAAAGTCTTCGCCGTTGAATCCCAATCCCTTTGCGGCACGCATTCTACTTCCATTCAGAATCGTAGTGGCTTATTGAATGCGATGTGGCCTATACAATGACTTGCGGGGCCAGCCGATGTACAAGTCAGTGTTTTATCCTCCCAGACGAATCTGGTACCAATTTACCGTCCCTG